CACGTATATATATATACAAGCACATCCATACAACAGTTTAACGTGAGTTTAGTTCATCCAGTTGGCGTTGGCGTACTCGCCGGCCGAGTTGAGGTACACGGGCTCCATGTAGCCGCAGTCGCCGCGCGTCCCCGCGTGGCCGTAGCCGTCGCTGCTTGTAAAGCCCGTCGCGCACACACAGTGGCCTTTAGTATAGTCGCAGAGCCCGCTAGAAAGCTCCTCGCAAACGAGCAAAAATGTACAAATTTGTCTACCGGTTGGAGCAGAGAGCGTCTTCTTTGGTGCCGACAACCGACCCCATCGTACCGTCGCTGTAGACTGCGATCGACGTCACCCCGTTCGTTGTATAGCGTACCGGTGCGCCCCAAACACGGCAAAAAATGAGATCGAGATGACATTGGCGCCGTTGCTCGTGCACGCCGCCGCGCCCGCCGAGTACGAGACGAGCACCTGCGATAGTCTAACGCCTCCATAAGAAAAAGGCTATAAGAAAACCTGGCCAAAGGCGGGGAGGAGGTTGAGGATGCTCGCGAGCGTCGCACTGGTGATCGTAAACGGGAGCGGCGCGGTAAAGTCACCGCGAAAGCCCAATGTAAACGTGCCCGTCTAGCACAGTCAAGTATGGATCGGATGGATAGTGGAATACTTGGATAGGATACCGTGGCCGTGCACACGATCGTTTGGACGGCGTTGACTTGGGCCACGCCATTCTTGTCGTAATACGTCAACGGGTCGTCGCCCGTGGGACACGACACTAGACACCGTCGGCCAATATGTCAACATGACGATTTAAGATGAAGTGCATGTACATTTAGAGCAGTCGAAACCTTCGTAGCCAGGGTTGCATGCACAGCCTTGTACTTGGTTGTAGTCCCACGTCTATCAACAACAATATTGTCCTCATTTTGTAGACTTTTGTTGGACGCACCGGGTTGTTGTTGGGAATGCTCCCGTAGGTAAATGCCGTCCGCGGGTCGCCGTTGAGCTTGGTGAGCGGTGCGAGGTTTTGCATCGTGAGGCACGTGCCATGGCCACTGCAGTCGTTGGGGCACTCGACTAGCTTGAAATCAGAAAAAAGTCGCAAAATGCGCAAAGGTCGCAAAATGCGCAAAAGTCGCAAAATTCAAAACGTACGCCGATTGCACGCGGCGCCCGTGAAGCGCGTGTCGCACAAGCACACGCCCCGCGTTCGGTCGCACGTCCCCGCATTTGAGCACTCGGCGAGTTGGTGCGCACCATTCGGGCTGCTTGGTATATCAAACCAAGAAGTGCCCATCGGACATTGCTCTATGCAACTTCAGATTCAGATTCAGGTTCAGAAAAGGATTGCACGGTAGACAGGGATGCCGTACGCTCGGAGCAGTCGCCGCCTTGGAACCCGCTGGCACAAATGCACGCAAACGTCGGGGGGCCTTGGCAGACACCGTGGCCACTGCAGGCCAAGGTTTTACCCTACCCCTCGCATCGACACTGAGCACAGCAGTTGCGATCTACCGGACACTGCGTGATAGCCAACGCGACGGCCCCGCAGTCGCCGCGCCGACCCACGTTGCCGTAGCCGTCGCTCGAGACATAGTTGGGAAAGCAGTTGCACGTGCCCTACGCATGTCGTCTGATATTGATTGACAGGAATCATCGACGGGCGCACCGTCGACCGGTCGCAGAGACCGCGGTTGGAGCAGTAGACATCTTCCTTTGTGCCGTGCACCGTCGTGACAATGGTTAGCCGGGGCGACGCGCCGACCGTCGTTAGCGTCAAGGCGCCGGCATTACCCACCAGTGACGGCAGACTAGACACAAGAAAGGATCGCACTGTTGTCAAGTTGTTCGTTGATTGTGAAACCACATACTTGCCAAAGTCTTGTGTGAATTCGATCGTGATGGCATGACCGAGCACGGTGCACGCCGTGGGCGTCAGACCTGAGTACGTGACGACGACGCCGTGCAGAGATGGCAGTGCCTAGTCCTTTGTCAGGACGACGACGCAGGGATCGAATGCATGTCGACCAAGAGCTTGGCTCGCATGCTGGCGGCCGAGTCGGACACGGAAATCGGCGCCGTGGTAAAGCCTCGAAAGGCCAGCGTGAACGACCCGCCCTAAACATAGGTACGTCTCTAGCACCGGCGTCTGAACCGTCAAGCGAACCGTGGCCATGCACGTGACGACTTGCTTTTCATTGAATTGGACGCCGTTGGGGTCTTGGGTCGTGCCCGTGAGGGGGTCGTCGCCGCGGGGACATTGCACTATCGCGCAATCAACCTAAATCGAATCTCCCACCAGCGAGTAAAAGTACTTTCAGTGCAGCTGTAGCCTGTAAACGGATCGTCGCAGTGACAGCCGTAGATTTGGTTGGCGTCCCATGGCGTCGTGTAGGGGTGCACCGTGCCAAGACCTGGATCCTTGGTCATCGCGAGCTGGCTCATCGAGAGGCACGTGCCGCGGCCGTTGCATTTGCAAGCCACTAGCGCTGAGATAGGACACCGCTAATTAAGTTTGGTGCTTCGTACTGCGGTCACAAGCAGCGCCGGTAAAGCCCGGGGAGCAGTCGCAGAGCCCTGTTGCGCGGTTGCAGACACCTCGGTTGGCGCACTCGGCGAGGTTGTGCGCATTCTCAGACGACTGCGGGTAGTCGGCCCACGCTGTGCCCATCGGACACTTGACTAGAGTCGTCGTAGGAGGTAGTAGTACAATAGGAGTGAGTCAACGTACGCAGCGAGCAGTCGGCGCCCATAAAAGACTGGGAGCACTGACAGACGCCTTGATAGTGACAGAGGCCGTGGCCACTGCAGTCGTTGGGGCACTGAGACGCCCAAGTTGTCTGCAGCGTCACCGCCGCCGCAAGGAGCACTCGAAGCACCACCATTTTACCCTGTGGTGCTATTCCTGGGTCCAATGACCGTTGCACCCACAAGTATAGTGCATTGCAGGAATAACATATATTGCTAGACCTCGACAACACCTATATAGTCTTTGCTGAGAGATGTCTCTCTCTCTCTTTCTCTCTCTCTCTCTCTCTCTCTCTCTCAAGCACAAAGGTGCGAAGCGATGGCGCACACTCTACAAGCTGGGGACGGTACCACGGGATAAACCATCTCGCAGACCCAGTGCACCGCGAACAACCAAGTTTCGTACCAGCTCCCACGCATGCACGCGCAGCGCTACGGAGACCAAATCTTGGAGTCGAGTTTCGTCAAGTCATGATCACATTGATGGATGCATCGATGATAGATGGTGCTCCTTGAGCCATCGTTCCCTGTGTTCCATGCTCTCGACCCGTGGTCGGCATCCTCTATTCCCACCCTCCCTTTGTCTGGCGAGTGAACGAAGAGGCACAGTGATAACCAAGGCTAACTGACAGCTGGAGCCCTGGCCACAGGCTCCATCCTAACGGGTTCTCGGTCGGACGATCTTCTCGATAGATTGATACAAACACACACCTTGTCCCGACCTCGTGGTTTGCGAGCTGTGTAGATGATAGGAATACCCGTGCTTAACCACTGCTGTCTCAGGCGTCTACTGCCACCCTTCAATGTCAACATCGTCGGCGCCTGTACCGACAGCACATGTCGCATGTCGACGCTGCGCTTGGTCTGTTGCCCATGGCCTGTACGGATCTGGCAACGACAGCATGAGCCCTCCAACGTCAAAGATCAAGTCGAGACTTGTAGACTCGCACCACTTGTATGTCTTTACAGTGAATATAGCGTAGCTACTCGACCTGTCTCTAAAACTCGCTCGTTCGGAACGTCGCGGTGGTCTTCTTGGGCGGCGGCGACTCGCCTTGTTCCTGCGTGTCACGGCGGTACAATCGCACTTCGCGGGGCTTCTTCACGTGCTCCTCCTCTTCCATCCACTCGACTAGCGGGTAAACGATCACCTTGTCGATGAGCCAGACGCACGTGAATCGCTGGCCGGTCAAGACGTCGTTGGCGAGCCGATGGTATGTCGCCCAGCCCGTCACGGCAAAGTACGTTGAGAGGACGGCGTCCAGCGTATACGTCTCGCGGCGGGCGAGCGAGCTCACCTAGCATACATCGCATCAGACGATGTGACAATGCCATCATGACGTGGCAGCAGGCGGTACCATGGCGGTGATCGCGGTTGTCCACACAATCGACTTGACCCAATTGACTGGGCTTTCGACACGGTGGTAGTACGTGTGCCAGACCATGCCACACAAAATGAGGAGCGTCGAGTGGCCGCAGTAGATCGTGTCGCGGCACGCCACGAGGCTCACGTTGGTCTGCGACCGAATCCACTCGGCGAGGCTCGAGGTGACTGAGAAAGTGCTGGACGACTTCGCGGGCGCTTGGGTTCTTCTCTTCGACGAGACACGTCGGGTTCGAGTCGGGCAGAAAGGTCATGAGCGCGAGGAGCGTCCGCGCCATGAGCAGCGCCGCGTAGATGAGAAGAACCCGGCGCAGAATGATGCTGCGCAGTGGATGCAGCGCCACAAAGGTCGCGGTCGCGCCGAGCACGAGCTGCAAGAGAAAGCTCGGCGGGATCGGAATCGACGGCAAAAAGTCGTGGCCGACGTCGGGCAGCGCGCTGTGGTGGTTGGGCGTCCGGAAGAACGCGAGCGACTTGACGAGCGCCGAGAGGAAGACGGCGCACGCGAGAAACATGGCCGAGACCGCGAGCCGGCGCGACGTCGGGTAGATGACCGTGATCGCAAAGAAGACGCCGACGCTCAAGAGGAAGAAGTGCTGCAGGTCGAGCGCATCGCCGATCGCGACGCCGACCGTCGCGCCATGGAGCCAGCAGCAGACGCAGAGGAAGCTCGTAAAGACCTTGGACACCATCTCGTCGCCGCGTTGCTCTGTGCGGCGACGCCTCCGAGTCCGGATACCGTGCCAGGTACTTTAACGGAGGGCATTTCTCCATAAAAAAGAATTCAAGACAATACAATACACAAGATGCAATACAATAAAAATAAAAGTGAGCATAGTCCGGATACGAAAAGTGAGTAATTGCCGTAGGCAGTCCGCGGCGACCGCCCTAAGCCGACGTTATCACTTACCGCTCCCCAAACGCGGCAAGATCGCCGCTGGTCTGTCACGGCGACAAGAAACTATAAGCATACGTCAGAGAGGGTACGCAGGCTGGTATGCAGGCTGGTAATATATTCTGGACGTCCACGCAGACGTCCATCCAGTATCCGGTGCGGCTGGACCCTAGCCCTATCCAATCCTGCGGCGTCGGTCCAGTGTATACATCGCGTTGCGTCTACGGGCGCTTTCTACCTACGATGGACCCTTGCTTGTGTCGAGCGTACCAGAGGCACCAAGGAAGCGTCAGAGGCAGTTGTGCGAGCGAGAACCTACGTACGGCCATACTTGGCATCTCAGTCCTGCTCGTCCGCCCCATCAGCGGACTCGCTCCAGCGACGATGAGAGTGCTTTCGTCTCGGCGGTCAAGCGTCCAGCGGCATCCCTCTCTGCATCCTCACTCGATGGTATCTGCTCTTTTATGTTGCAGCGTTTAACACAAGACACAGGTTGGACGATACAAAAAGCCATGTATGAACGTGATCACTCAAAACGAGACCAAGCCACCGTTAATTACCGGCGGCCCGTGTGGAACTTGTAGAGAATGAACGCAAAGATGAGCTGGAAGAGCACCGTGTACGCGGCGAGGATGCCCATGTTGCGGTTGACGTCGACATTCTGGAAGCCATAGCGCGTCAGAATCGCTTTCGCCGTCGCGTCGGTCGACTGCATCGGGTTAAAGTGCGTGTACACAAACGACTCGAACGAGTACGTGTGGAAAGCCATGTAGTAGGCCCAGATCCAGTAGTCGGGAATCGCGTGCTTGGGCACCATGAAGCCCTCGCAGAGCATAAACATGCCAAAGAGGCCGGCCCCGAGAGCAATGCCGATAATGTAGTGGGGCACGGCGGCGGCGATGACACACATGAGCGACTCGGCCGCGACCAGCGACAAGAAGAGGTTGAGGAAAAAGTACCCAAACCCGTTGAGGTCCGCGAGCCAGACCACAAGCGCCGTGGACAGGATCGAGATGAGCGCGATGCCGGGCAAGGCCGCGAGCAAGTTGGCAAAGACATAGCTGCCGACGTTGAGGCCTTGGTTGGCGCGCTCGCGAACAAACACCGCGCGTTGCTCGATAAAGAACGGCAGCACGGCGACGCTCATAAAGACGAGGAACGCTTGGACGTAAAAGAGCATCGGTAGCAGATCCTCCTTGGTCAAATCCGTGTTGGTGTGGTAGTACATGGTGCCCACCATGAACGAGAGCATGATGTACATGAAGAGGCGCACCCAGTAGATGCCCGGGTTGCGAATGTTGTCGAGCGTGTTGCGGTGCATGAGCACCATCCACTGCGTCAAGCCGGACGCGCCTTGGCTCGGCACCTTCTTGGGCGAGAGGGCCGAGGCGGCGTGGCGGTCGGCTTCAATGGACCGGACAATGCCGTTGCAGAGCTCGCTCGACGCATACGACTTGACGAACGCAGGGACGTCAGCGTGGCCCTCGAAGTCCGTGTTGACAAGGCTCACAAAGTACTCGGCCGGGTTCGTGTACAGCGGGCACGGGTAGTTGAGCGACTCGAAATGAGTCAGCGCGGCCGATGGCGCACCATAGAAGACCGTGCTGCCTTCGACCAGGATCGAGACGGTCGAAAACATGTTGTAGACCTCGGCCGACGGCTGGTGGATCGTGCAAATGACCGTGCGGCCCGTCGCGCAGAGCTTCGCAATGTACTTCATGATGTGGTACGTCGACGCCGAGTCGAGACCGGACGTCGGTTCATCCAGCAGCAGAATCGACGGGTTCGTCAAAAGCGCAATCGCAATCGAGAGGCGGCGCTTCTGGCCACCGGAAATGCCCTTGAAGAAGAGGTCGCCGACGCGTGTGTTGGCGCAGCTCGTCAAGCCCATGTCGGCAATCGCGGCCTGGACACGCTCCTCCTGGACCGCATGCGCCGCCTGGAGCGAGATCTTGGCTGCAAACCGCAGCGTCTCGAGGACCGTAAACGACCCCAGGAGCGAGTCTTCTTGGGCCACGTACGTGGCCATCTTGCGGAACGACGACGAGTGGCGCGTGTGGCCGTTGACTTCGATGTTGCCCTCGATCGTGCCGCTCGAGACGCGGTCGGCGAGGATGTCGAGGAGCGTCGTCTTGCCGCTGCCAGACGGCCCCATGATGGCCGTGAGCTGGCCGGGCGAGACGTGGCCATGGATGTTCTTGAGGATCGTCTTGGGCGGGCCGTTCTTGCCGAGGAGCGTCGTGGGCTGCACCGTGTAGCGCAAATTGTGCCAGCTCAACGTCGCCGGGTCGACGCTCTCGTGGTGCGTCTCGCCGTTGACTGCGAGCGTAAACGGCGTCTCGAGCGTCGAGAGGAACTTGTTGTTATCGCTCGGAGTCTCCATACTAGCCGACTGGTCCTTAGCACTCTCAATGGCAATCACAAAGTGAGCGGGTCGGTCGTTGGTCGTTGGTGGCCAAAAAATCCACGTCCCTTGCCAATGCACCTCTGCGTGTCCCACGGTATTCAACATTTATACATTGGTGAAAAATGTGAAAAATGGCGACGAAGCTAGGTATTTCAAGAGTAATCTCGACTGCAATCTCAACTGCAATCTGAAACGGTGGCTACTCAGAAGTACTGGGCATATCGTCAAAGCTACCACGTGGTGGCAGGACCGATCATGGTAATAGCAGTCGCATGGCTCGAGTACAAAGCGCGCATGCAATTCGAGCGATTCCAGAGTGCAGACCCCACACTCCAGAAGCGCGCCACCCACACTGTGGAGTGAGCAATGAGGGACAGGCCGCGTGAAAAACATCGGTGGTTTATTTCCTTCCCTTCTCTAGCAGCTGGGGGCGTCGAATGTCGAAGCGTGCGACCAACGGCACATCTGGTGCCACCGCGTTACTGCTTACCATGACGAATCGCGCTTGCTGCAGTGAGCAGTCGTGATTAAGCAAATTTGTCGGACGTCTCCTCCTGCGTACACGACGCTAGTTGCAAGACCTCGGCGATGCAACGAGCTCGGTTGGCGGTGAATCGTTGGCAGTTGAGCTCGTTTTTCGACGCATAATATATGATGTGTGCGACATAAAACCGTCAACTAGATTTGATAGAAATTGACTGGAAAGATCAGCGTTGAGACTGCCCTCACAAGATTGGTGCACACACGCCCGCTTCTGGTCCTAACTTTTGCCCACTCCGACGGGCAATTGCACTGCTCCGAAGACGCCTACGCCGGCTGCTGCACGCTGCCGTCATCGAGGGCGTGCTGGCTTTGCTCAAGACATGTCGTCCACATCCATCCTCGTATGTCTTCCTTCGATGCGCTCGTAAGAATGAATTCTATCGACGAGCTCTCTTCGTGATTCAGTGACGTAGCCTCCGTCAGTCCATCCCTTAATCTACAGTCGTGGTGGGCGACTGACGGCCGCGCTGTCAATTCGTTCTTTCTCAAGACGCCGCCGTCTTCATCGACGCGTAGTATCTAGAGATGCAGCGGCGAAGGGCTGTCCTCGCCTCTCGATCGGTCGCGTGTGCACCCACTGCTACTCACAACGCGCGCCATCTTACGAGCGATTCGTCTTGTTGCAAGGTCGACGGTACGCTGCGTACACCCGCATCTATCGCCTTTCTCCCGTTTAGAGACGCCGCTAAATAAACACCAAACAAATACGTCGCGCTCTCTCGTCTTGCCTGCATCTACGACGAGACGGATGCCAAAAGCTTTCAATCGAGCAGCGTGCGAGTAGCCACGGGACACATCGAATGTGGCACGATGCGACCACGGTTCTTGGTGGTGGCTGGCTCTCGCTACGTTTCTCGTGCCAATCGACTTTAACAAAAGACGCCGTGTTAGTCTCACCCACGTCCACCCTTGAGCGACAGATATCCAGCGTAGACACAAGCGCGCATCCAACTCCACATACAGCGTCAAAGCCGAGTAGCTTGGCCGTCCCGCGCATTTTCTGTTGGTTGTTTGCTGCCGATTTCACGTTTTGATCGCTTACCGACCACAGTCATGGTAGAGGACACGTCAGTAACCTCTTCTTCGCGCTGCCGTGGTCCTCCATGGCCTCGAAACACTGGTCCGAGAGCGATCGGCGCGGAGGAGCGATTAGCAACGACCCAAGCGTCGCACGCGGTGTCGCCTCGCTCAGGACAGCCTCGTTCGTAAAGCATCGCGAACGTACGACAGTGTCTACTCGGTGTCTACGCAACTCCAGCATCAGGCGCATCGGCGACGATGATGACCCTGGCTGATGAAGCCGACGACAGGCGGCCTCCACTGTGGCTCGGCCCGTGCATTGCAGTCATGTCTAGCACGTATTAAAATAATTCTAAAAAGAATATTCGGCGGCAAAACGTGTGTTTTTAAACATGTCCCACATCACTCTTCTATCCATTAATATCACTACAGTAGATTTCCACCACACAACAAGGGCGCGGGGTGGCCGGAGATGCTGCAGCTGTACTTTTCATTCTACCGGACGTGGGTGAAGACGATGATGCGCGCCGCGTCGCTCGAACCCAAGCCAGGTGGACGCGCCCATTCCGTGCCAAAATAGCAGGCTCCTAACGGGCCCGTTGCGTTTTGTGGTTTTGCGTTCGACACGTGAACAATCCAACCGTCCGTGGCTTCGTCCATGCAAAGATATCGGGGTTAGACCGACCAGAGGTTATATAATTAGAGTGGCCACCGACCAGATGTTGTCAAGCAAACGTGGCCCCCCCGTGCGCAACGCAAGAGAGCCATCAGATTCGCTCGCAATAGAAAACGCGACAGTAGCATCAAGGGGCGCGTCCTATTTATATGGATCATTTTGCATTTTGCAACATAGTACTCAGCATGTCGACCGATCAAGTCGCGCTACTCCAGCGTCTCGGCGCCTCCGAGATGGGCGACATGGACATCATTGCAACGCCGTTCGGCGACCGCCACCTTGTCTACGCCGACTATGTCGCGTCCGGTCGGTCTGTGGACTTTATCGAAGCCACGATCGCGCAAAAGATGCTGCCGCTGTACGCCAACACGCACACCGAGACGTCGCACTGCGGGCACCAGATGAACCAGTGGCGCACGCAGGCCCGCGAGTACATTGCGTCCCAAGTCGGCGCCGACCCCGCCTCGGACGTTGTGTACGTTTTTTCTATCTACATTTTTCACTGTGCTCACGACGCTACGTTCTTAGCCTCTTTACGGGCGCGGGCTGCACGGGCGCCATCAACCTCCTCGTCGGTCGTCTCGCGCGGCTCTACAAGCTCAGCCGCGCCGTGGTCTTTATGGGGCCCTACGAGCACCACTCAAACGACTTGGTGTGGCGTGAGTCGGGCGCCAAGATTGTCCGGTACGATGACTTTGCACTTATGATAAAGTGCAATCTGAATCTGAATCTCGAATTGTAGGATTCGGCCCGGCAAAGGCGGTGGCGTCGACCTCGCGCATTTAAAAAACTGCTTGGAAAAGTTTCGTCGCCGCGCGCTCCTCATTGGCACCTTCTCGGCCGCGTCCAACATTACCGGCATCACCACCGAGACGGTCCCGGTGACGCAGCTCCTCAAGTCCTACGGCGCGCTCGCGCTCTGGGACTATGCGGCCGCCGCGCCTTACATGCCCATTGACATGCACGAAGGCGGTGTCGCGAAAGACGCCATCTTCTTCTCGGTGCACAAGTTCCTCGGCGGCCCAGGAACCCCCGGTGTCCTTGTCGTGAAGCAGTCGCTGTTTAGTCAGCCGACCCGGAGTGGCGTCGCGCCCACGACGCCGTCGCCGTGCACCGGGGCGTCCGCAGCAAGCGACTCGGCCCACACGAGCTCTGGCGGCCCCGAGAGCAGCGAAGGTGGCAGCTCGGAACTCGATGCAACCAACACGTCTCGCACCGGTAGCAGCAGCACGACCACCACCAACAATCAGCTCTCCGCGCGCAAGACGACGCTGCATTCCACGGTTGTCCGCGGCGTGCGCAAGGTCATGGCCAAGAAGACCGCCAAGATGAACGACGTGCCGGTCGTGCCCGGGGGAGGCACGGTCTTCCTCGTCTCGCGCCGAACGCACCAGTACGTCGACGACATTGCCGAGCGCGAGGAAGGGGGCACGCCGGACATTGTCGGCGCGCTCCGGGCCGCGATGGTCTTCCAGCTCAAGGCGACGCTCGGAGTCGCCTTTCTCGAGAGCCAAGAGCATGCGATTGCGACGCGCGTGCAGACCGCGCTCGGGTCGCACTCGAACATTGTGCTGCTCGGCGACCCGTCGGCGCCCCGGCTGCCCACCTTTTCGTTCTTGATCCGGCACGAGACACTCTTTCTGCACCCGCAGTTTGTCGCGCGCCTCCTCAGCGACCTCTTTGGCATCCAGTCGCGCTCGGGCTGCGCGTGTGCCGGGCCCTACGGCGCGCTCCTCTTCCAGATGCCGGACGAGCTCGCGCACATTTTGTTTTCGCTCATGCAGCGCAAGGCGCTCTTCATCAAGCCCGGCTTTACGCGGCTCAACTTTCCCGTCTACTGGTCCAGTGCGCGGGAAGCGTTTGTCGTGGAAGCGATCCGGTTCGTCGCCGACCACGGCTGGCGCTTCGTGCCGCTCTACGACCAGTGCTTGAGCACGGGCGTGTACACGTACCGAGGTGGCGCGCCCGAGCTCACGCCGCTCGCTGACGTCTTTGCCGACCTGGCCAGCTTTACGATGCCGACGACCAACGACAAGCCGGTCGTCGACGAAGCGAGTGTCTTTGCGCACGCCATGGGAAGCGCGCGCGGCCTTGCGTCCGAGCTCAAGGCGTCGCCGCGCTCGCGCTACTCGCTGCCAGACCCCGAGTACCTCGTCGATCCGGTCGAGGTGCTTAAAGACCTCGCGCGCTGCGACCACGACAACATGCGGCACTTTTGCTGGTTCCTTACGAGCCACGACGTGCTGCGCAAAGTGTTCAAGAACGTGACACCAGACCGCGTCAGCGTCTTTCGACCGCTCTTCAACAACACGGTGAGCCGGTGGCCCGCGGCGCTGACCACGAAGGAGCTCAAGGCGCTCAACAAGGTCGCGTACATGGAAGCCGACAAAGTGCACTCGATCTATGGCCCGCGCATCGTGCAGAAGCTCATGGGCTTCAAGTAACATCTCTTCGTGCGTGTCTTCTTCTTCGTAACCAGCTACTAGTGTTTGTTTGCTCGTATACAGTATTGGCTCGTAATTTTGAACGAGACGGCGCTTTGGTTCCGCTTACATTGGTGTGCTGCCATCATGACTTTGTTGGGGTGCCATGCTCAGTGCTTCATTTCCGAAAGAGTCGTCGTCACGCTTCCAGTGCCGCATGCTGGGCATGTTGTTAGTCGACGTTTAGTCGGTCGTGGGAACGCCTGGGTGGCGCGAGATGGCGTACCGTACGCGACGGCAAGGCAGCGACAATGGCCTCGTGACGCTGCTGTGTTCCGAGCTTGGTTTCCGCATTGCAGCGAGACAGCCACGCTTGGGACAGAGCCAAGTACTACATTCGATTGCATGATAGTTGAGGGTGGTAGGATGCAGGAACCAGCCATCACGTTTGACAGCGCACGACCTGGTTCTGTAAGCTGGTTCTGCTCGGTGGGTGCGACAGCGTGCTACAGCATCCACTGACAACGATGACATTGGCGTCGCGAAAGAAGTCGGGCGAAAGGCTGATGCAGCTCATGCGGCTGGGCGTCTGTTGTTGTTGTTGATCTGAGTTATATTACATACAATCATAAAGTTATGGTGGACTTCCTAATGCGCTCGTGAGGCTTGGCCGGTGCGTCAAGCGAGGGGCGTTAGTGGTCGTGATTCGAGATTGTGCGAGGGACCAGGAAGCGTGCACACCAAGGGTCGTCGCAGACAGCGACCAGCGACGCGTCAAGAGATGGCACCACAGCGCGACGAGCCAAGTGCCGGACGTGCAGTCGTGCGCTGGGCGTCTGTACCTGGGTTCCCCAGAGTGGCTCCAGGCCGCAGTTGAAGGGTGAGGCCGTAGCCCTTGCCGCAGTCCGACCTCGCGCTGCCCAGGCTCATGTTGATGCATGTGAAATTCTGCGCTCCTCTGGTATTGTGCGGCCTTAAGACCCTGGAGCTCAGGAGGCTACGTGCTGCGTTCGCATCGCAGACTGTCCAAGGCAGAACGCTTGTGGGCCTGAGATTTGGCCAACTTCAACTTGGTTTCCGGATACTGCATCCATATCCGGCGTGCAATCTTCTGCAAATGAAGGACGAGGTCGACGAGCGCTCCAAGCACCTCTGGAACACGCTGCACCTTATTGAGCGTAACCTTAAGCTGCTCACCGAGGCGATCGAGGCGACGACGACCTTCCGCGAGGCCCGCGACGCGCATGCGGCCAAGCTGGCCAAGGCCTTTGACGACTGCGCCATCACCGAGCCCTGCCACGCGGTGCATACGGTGCTGGCGGCCATGGGCGACGCGACGCGGACGCTGAGCACCGAGACGCACGAAGTTATGGTCGTGCGCCCCGAGCAGACGGCGATCGTCGAGCTCACGCAGATCCAGGACTGGGGCGTGGTGCCCATGAAGCGCCTCCTCGAGGACCGCGACAAGGCGATCAAGGCCATTGCCAAGCTCCAGCGCGACGTCGACGAGAAGATCTACCTCGGCGGCAACAAGGAGCGCGAGAAACGTGCGCGGCTCCTGGCCGACCAAAAGCGCCGGGTCGACAACGTCAACGCGCTTCTCGACGTGCATTGGAAGCGCTTTGAGTTCTTCCGCGTCACCAAGATGAAGGTAGATTCTCTTGTACGACGCGTTGGCACAATATAGCTCTAGCGGGTCATGAGCGAAATGGCGCGGGCGCAGCTCTACTACCACTGCAAGGGCGTCGAGTGCTTTACACTTCCGTGCCGGGCGACGCCGCTCATCGACCCGAAAGACGCAGCCGCCGTACGTAGCCCTCTTGCTGCAGATAGCTGCTTACAGGATGTGGCACAGGAGGTCTCGCTAGAGGCCAGTGTCAAACCATGAGTGCTTTCAAAGCTTGTACATGGCGTCGATCCCAGTGCCCTAGCCCTAAGGCGCTGTAGAGAGAGGTGCTTGCATATGGTCTCTCGCATCGGATACTACGAGTAATGCATATGTCGGGCAGCTTTTGATCGCTGGATCGCTTATTCTCTCTGTACTAGCCATGTGTAAACAAGTGTGGTTAGGTGTACATGTGTGTTAGTCCTTTAGAGCATCGCCGCCGGCAACTGGTAGGCGGCGAGGCTATGTGCACGCACTTGCTTGTCGGCGGCCGCGATCGCCTCACGCTCCGCGTCGCACAAGAAGCCGCAGCCGACAAAATCGAGGATTTCGTCGAGAACGCCGTCGGGGAGGTCGTCGAGTCGCGTGCCAACAAGATGACGGCGCAACCACGCCTTGTGCTGGGGAAACACGTGTGCTGTCGAGAGCAGACTCGCGTCCGGGTGCACGAGGAAGTAGGTGACGAGCGTCACGTGTCCGGGCTCGCGCTCGTCGGCTGCTGAAAACGGCGCGATGCGGAACACCCCCGAGGTCGGGATCGAGACGAGGCGACCCGGCGTCAATCCCATGTAGCCCGTTCTCTGAAGCTGTGGGCTGGCCGGTGATGCAGCACCCTACAACCATCCACGCCTGAGCGTCCACACCACAATAGAGCGGTTGACCTTGGTCGTCGACCGGGGCGGCGCGAGCTCGTGGGCAAACTCGATGGCCACGTCCGCTACGTTGTCGTGCTCGCAGCAGACGACGCCGACCGCAACCACAAACTCGTTCACGATCCCCGAGCCTTTGGTCCACTTCTGGCCTGGAAAGGTCGGCGTTGCATGCAGCGTCGTGATCTGGACGTGCACGAGGAGGTCGGGGGGTAGCGGCAGCGAAGCAAATGGCGACGATGGCAGTTTGTCGACAAACTGCGGACTCGCGGCGACCGCTTCAAAGTCGACGCCCGCAGCTGCTTGCTGGCGCTGCCACCGGCGCACCTTGGACGACGTTGGTTTTTCGGTCGTGTGGGCTCGATACAGGCGGCGCACGAGCTCGCACGTCGGCAGATGGCGCGTGCGCTGCAGGCGGGGGACGTCGTGCAGCATCGTGTGCACGCTGACGGCAAAGAGCGGCAAGAGCTGCGTCAGCGTCGCGGCCAGCGCATCGTAGAGTTGCGTGTGCCCCGGGTCAAGGTCGTTGATGTACGATGTAAACATCGCCCTGTCCTTCGTCGCATCGACGTACACCGGGGTCGGCAGCCACTGAAAGTGTTCCGAGACATGGGGCTGCCACTCGGATGGCACGATGGACGACCACGAGAGCAGGCTGCCGCCGTTCAAGCGCAGACCGTGCGGCGACGCGCGCCATTGCGTGAGCCCGACCACGCCGCAGCCGACACTCGGACTCACCAGGTCCTGAACGGTGCCAGAGATGGCGCGCGACATGGCGAGTGGCGCCAGAAGCGCCCGCCAAGGACGTGCGTCCCATGACCCGAGGTGCGCATCCGAGACTGCGACGCCGTGGGCAGGGTGCAGAAACAGTGCTGGCGACAGACCGCCGAGCTCGGCCTCGAGCAGCGACTGCGCGTCGGTTGACAATGCTTCTGGACACAAAAGCGTGCGGCGAGATGGCCACGTCGGGTCGCTGAGGATCGCACAGAGCGCATCAATGTACGCGGTTTCCATAGGCGCCAGCGGCGAGGTCGCGGCGCGAAACCAGCCGACGCGGGAGAAAAAGAAGCGCTGACGTGGCACGCTGAGCGTCGCGAACGGCTGAAAGAAGAGCGCGTGCGTCAATGGCGGCGGTCCGTCGGAGAAGAGATGGACGTACAGATACCGCGTCACGACGACATGTTCGCTTGCGAGCGCCAGCTCGAAATACGACCGCTACGCGATTGGTGAGGCACACTTGATACATTGATATACGGTCGGTGGTACGCGGCAGGTAAAGCGGTGGTCTTTGGCGCCTTTTGTCAATGGCAGCAGCAGCTCGACGCTGCACAGGATGCCTTTCTGAATCGCATGGTACAGCGGCGTGCGGCCCATCTAGTCCTCGTGTATTGTGGACAACTTGTCTTCATCATCAACAAGTCAAGTACGGGATCGCGGGCGTTGGGGTCGGCGCCAGCGTTCAGCAAAAGCGCGAGCATGGCTGGGCGGCTCGCTGCGCGGCCCAAGTACGTCTAGAGAGAGGGTGGTCGAGTCGGCGATTTGCATACATACAATGCGAACAAGGTGTACCAGGCCGAGTCCATCGATCGACGTCAAGTCCGTGTACGCTGCCAGCACGTTGACAGCCCACGCATTTTGCGCTGCAATCGCAAGCGACAGCGCCGTGCTGCCCTCCTACACGTATGCAGATCGTCAGGACTTTCAGACACCGAAATGGCGCCGACCCGATCTCGCAGCTCGGGGTTGAAGCCGTGCTGCAGCAAGAGCAAGAGGCACGCCTCGCCGTCGCCGTCGACCAAGAAAGTGGTGCGTTGGAGCCACGTATGGCCTCTCTATCATCCAGCATCGCAGCAGTTTAGTACTGCGCGTCTCGCAACCACCGACCTTGTGGACGCGGTCGAGCGGTGTCACAGGAATCAAGAGCGCGGCGACGGACGGCTTGTCGAACAAAAAGGCGCATGCAAGTACGCTCTCCTTGTGCTACAGGCACCGTGCGGCGGTCATCTCAACTGTGTGGCGGTACCTGCATCGACCAATTTGGGTTGAGAAAGGCAGCGATGATCCGCGCGGCGTCCGAGGCGCGTCGCACGATCGCGCAGAGATGCTACATGGTCCGTCTCGCCTCTGTGTGTCGCATGGATGCATGAAGCGTGCTACCTTGATTGGCACGGCGTTGACGTCGGCGCCGTGTTGGACGAGGAGCTCGACGAGCGCCGCGTGCTGATACTTGGCCGCGACCGCCAGTGCTGTTTCGCCCGCCTACACGCGCAATGTTGCTTGCATACGTGCTTTGGTGGGCGACCTTGTTGCGAGCTTCGATATCGGCGCCGAGCTGCAAGAGAAGGCGTGCGGTGCCAACGTGGCCTGTTCGCACCGCGAGTAGCAGCGCCGTGCAGTGATCCTACGAGCACGATGAATGCGATGACCATCCAAGCGCACGTACTCGCGTCGTTGCCTGCACGCTCGCGCCTTCCATTGCGAGGTACTCGACGACAGCCGATTGGCCTCGGGATGCGGCGAGAAGCAGCGCCGTGTTGTCATCCTAAGCCATCAAACGATGATGCACCACCATACAGAGCGGCATCCTACATCATTGAGCATGTCGAGAACGGCCACGCTCGAACGCAGCGACCTGACGAGCTCCAGCTGGCCGCGTCGCGCGGCGGCATGGAACAGCGACTCGCGGCGCCATGAGGTCGCTTGCACGCTCGTGCACGATGATCGGTGCGCACGCACCGCTGCCCCATCGGCGGCTACCACCTTGGCAGATGGCAAGCCCTCTCGTGCGTCGTCCTATGCGAGCGATGGAAGGGCCATGAGCGTCCGGCGTGCGGCGGCGACGATGCTACCGCTGCGGGATGGTGCATCGTGGAATCCAATCTTGAACGAGGCTTTTGGACGGAAATAGTGTGAAGCGAGAGTCGCGCCAGAGAGAGCTGCCAGAGAGCAGATTGGGTTCGATCACAACGACAACGTGGCGAAGGCAAGGTCATTGCACGCGGGTGCTCTCTTGGTCGATGGAATGCTAGGACCTGCGTTCGCACCAACATAGATAGATGCAGTGAACGACGTGGCGGCCTGTACAGCCACGACATTGCACCTTGCAGAAAGGACGAGCGCCTGTCGCTGCTTGCGCCGATGACAAAGCACGCACCAGACTTTCGCTTTCATCGATTAGAGCGACAGGGATGTCATCATACAAGAATGAACGAACACAACCAGCGTCTAGCATCGACACGCCAGTGGAAGAAGCGACGGGCGTGTGCTAGCAGGCGTCGTCGTTGCACCCAGATGCGAGAAGCCGCGTTTCAATGTACTAAAGCTCAAGCTCCTCTTTCAGTGAAGCAGCACACAGCTGGCAACAACGGCTCCTTGTAGGTTTGCTTTGCGGCTACGTTGGCTGAAACCACTTGACGTCGTTTGTGTGCAGCATCAATGGCCCGGGATCGCCTTACGTTCCGTGGGCGTGACGCCACCACGGGGCTCGATGGCACGAGAATGGTCATGACCTTATAAACCTTGCGAGAGAGCTCCATTTCTGCTGCGATGCACAGCAAAAACGGTAGAAAAGAGGCAGTCTACTAGTGTCACTCGTTCGTCATCTATCGCACATTGGCCGCCTTACGCCGACTTGGGCGTCTTGATGACAAGCGGGATCTCTTCGGTGCGGCTGGCCTTGAACGCGGCGAACGCCTCCGGGTTGGTGTACTCGTGCAGGCACGCGTTCAGGTCGGCGTTGTGCTGGCGACACTTCCACACGACCAGGAGACTACATTCATGCGTGAGCGCCACCGCAGTGACTGTATATCGTTGTTTCCATACCCATGCTCGTGCGAGCAGTCGACAAAGGCCTTAGTCTTGGCGTAGCACTTTTCAAGCGCGATCGAGTTGAGTTCTTGGTGCAGTTTCTGCATACAAATAGGCTTAGAGAGAGGCATGGAACAGAAGGAGACGTACGTGCTCGGCCTGCTTGGACCACTGCAGGCGCGACCCGCGCCACTCGGCCTTCTGCGTCTCGCGGTTGGGCGTGGCTTCCGCTGCGTTCGTCGTCGACATGATAAGAAATTTGGTTGTTCGTGGCCGCGCGGCCACCGGATACGCTATCCGAACGAACCGGTTGCATTGACGTGGCACGCCTGCGTGCCAGGACGAGACGTTTGTCTTGTTGTTGTTGCCGCCAAGGACGCGGCATGAGCTCGGGCGTTCAAGAGCAACCAGTGACGCGTGTCGCTGTACAGACGACCTTGCAAATGCGTCAAGAGGGCGATGCATGGAGTGCGTCCTGGGTGTACTAGTACTCGAGACTGGCAGCCTCGCCAAGTCGCCTTCTCTCTAATACTACGCGCATGTGAGCTCACTTGCGACGACACCTCACATGCACAGCGAGGTCATCAACGGGCGACGACCAACTTCATTTCAACAGGTCTCGACGGCTCTGTCGCCTTTCGTCCTGCTGCGCACGCTGGAGCAACACGATAGCACCCAAGTCATGCAGCCTGCATGATGCAGTACCCAAACTACAAGGCGCAGCAAAGCGCTTGTCTCCACCGAGTGTGGTGGTGTAAGGCTAACGAAGCACGTCAAGGCGTTGCGAGCATGCACTCCCTACACCCATGCACGCGGCCATCAACGCGGCTATGTCTCAACCTCACCGTCGTCATCTGCACCGCCTCGTACTGCTGCAGAAGACACCACATCGCCATCGCCAAGCATGCCATTGCCTTCCTCTGTACTTCCACAAGCTTGCATCGACGCCCAATAGTACACTATATCCTGTCATTTTAAATAGTGTGCACTACGTACCCCGGGGCACGATCCAAAGGCCATCAACCAGTCATTTCACTGGCGCAAACTGCCATCGCGCAGGCTAAATGCACTCACTTTCCATTTTTCTAGTAGTGCATTATGGCTGAACAATTGACGCTCCGCGGTACGCTCGCCGGTCACGGCAAGGCCTGGGTGACGGCCATCGCCACGTCGCGCGAGAACCCCTCGATGATCGTGACGGCGTCGCGCGACAAGTCGATCCTTGTCTGGCAGCTCACGGGCGACTCGTCGGACCTCGAGAACTACGGCTTCGCCGCCGCCGCCTCCAGGGCCACTCGCACTTCGTCGAGGACGTCGTCATCTCGTCGGACGGCCAGTTCGCGCTCTCGGGCTCGGTGGGACGGCACG